ACTTTATTTATATATTATACAATTTGAATTCAAAATTTTTTATTTTTAATAAAAAAATAATTACTAAATTATTTAAATAGTTGATTTAAATTTCAATTATTATTAATTTATTAGATTTACCTAGCAACTGACAAATAAATTCTTGTGCAATTGTAACTAGTTTTTTTTTTTTAAATAATAATTAAAAGTTAATTTTCCTCAAAAAAAAAATAATTAAAAGTTAAAAATTAAAAACTAATACCTTATTTTTTTGACAAGGTTCAATCACTTATTGAAGTGCATCTCACCAATAACTTTTTTGAATTACAGTGGTCACCAATGGTCCACTAGAGTTGAATGCCCAATTATAACTAGTTTAATCCTGAGAACTTACTACCCATTTCATGTAAAAACCTTGAAATGGTAACCAGCACAAGTCCCTCCACTGCCCCCACCAAAGTCATGTCATTTCCACTCCACCCCAACCGTTCTTATTACAACCACACCATTTTTCTAATTCACTGTCTTAATTCTTAATCCTTTCACATTTCAATTTCTTCAGTCAAAATAGATGAATTTGATTAATTCAAAATTTAAATTCATTAAAACATTTTAATAATTTTTAAAAAAGATTAAAATGATAAATTTTTTCCACAAAATTAATACTATATATAATTTTTACATTATCCAATGCTAAATTATACAATAATAAATAATTTTTTTCTTTTAAAACCTTTTTCTATTCATTTCAAAATTTTTGAATTTAAAAATTTTAATATAAAAATTCAAAATGGCGTATAAAAAAAAATTAATACTAGATTGAATTATTGAAATTTAGCCATTAATTTGAAAAAAAAGAAAAGAAAAGAAATTTAGCCATCAATAAATAGGCAAGAGAAGTACTTTTGTCAGGTGATTCTAGCCGAACAAGCCTAGACAATAACGCCACCCAGCCCAGCCCGGGTCTCGGCCCGTATTTAAAAAAAAAAGAAAAGAGAAAGGTTATATTTCCATCTTATCTGTTTGAGCTGTAGCTATTGTTGTTAGCCTCAGCCTCAGCCTCTGTGCTTCATCGGAGCTCGAGCCTCCGTCACGAGCGTTTCCTTCCTCTCTGATTCTCCTGAATTTTTTAAATAAACTTTCTGTATTTTCTCTAAAAAAATTAAATTTGTACTCTTTCCCTTCGCTTCTCTTACCCTTTTCTTTCTCTGATCGTGAAGTGGGAGTAGTACTGCAAAACCAAGCAAACCCACCCAATCCCCAATGCCCAGATTCTTTGTTTTCTGAAAACCTTTCCCTCACCCTTTCACAGACACCCACACACCCCGGAATTTTCATTCGCCATGAAGAGAGAGCACCACCATCTCATTCCCAACCCGGATCCTTCCACCTCTGGGAAAGCCAAGATGCTGGAACATGATGCTCAGCAAGATGGTGGGATGGATGAGCTTCTCGCCGTTCTTGGGTACAAGGTTAGGACCAATGATATGGTGGAAGTCGCGCAGAAGCTGGAACAGCTTGAGGAAGTTATGTGTAATCAGGTCGATGGAATTTCTCATCTTGCTTCCGACACCGTTCATTATAATCCCTCGGATCTGTCCACTTGGCTTGAGAGTATGTTGTCCGAGTTTAGTACTCCGACCAGTTTTGATCCGATTGTGGCGCCGCCGCCGCCGCCGCCGGTATTGGGGATGGATGATTCCTTTCTTTCTCCGCCAGAATCTTCCACGATTACCTCTGTTGGGTTCGACGGCAATCGGAAACAGGGGCAGAATGTTTTTGATGAAGCTTCGTATTCGGATTGTGATCTGAAAGCAATTCCTGGTAAGGCTGTCTATTGGCAAACCCAGACCCTTGAATCTTCGTCTTCCTCTAATCATCATAACGAGAATAGCAGTAACAAGCGCTTGAAACCCAGTTCTGGATCCAGCTCAGAAACTTACCCCGCCGCCTCCATGGCCCCCTTTGGTATTTCCCCTGACCCAACTCGTCCTGTAGTCCTCGTTGACTCACAAGAAAATGGGATCCGACTCGTCCATGCTCTGCTGGCCTGTGCGGAGGCTGTCCAAGAAAACAACCTCACCCTAGCGGAAGCTCTGGTCAAGCAAATCGGTTGCCTTGCGATTTCTCAAGCCGGAGCTATGCGCAAGGTCGCCACATACTTCGCCGAAGCCTTGGCTCGGAGAATTTACAGATTGCGCCCAGAAAACCCACTTGACCAGCTTTCAGATATTCTTCAGATGCACTTCTACGAGACTTGCCCATATCTCAAATTCGCCCATTTCACCGCAAATCAAGCGATTCTTGAAGCTTTTGAGGGGAAGAAACGAGTGCATGTAATTGATTTCTCGATGAATCAGGGAATGCAGTGGCCGGCGTTAATGCAAGCTCTGGCTTTAAGGCCCGGTGGTCCACCGGCTTTTCGGTTGACAGGGATCGGCCCTCCGGCCCCAGACAACTCGGATCACTTGCAGGAAGTGGGGTGGAAGCTGGCTCAGTTGGCGGATACGATTCATGTCGAGTTTGAGTACAGGGGTTTTGTGGCCAACAGTTTAGCCGATTTGGACGCGTCAATGCTTAAGCTAAGACCGAGTGAGGTTGAATCGGTGGCCGTAAACTCAGTTTTCGAATTGCACAAACTGTTAGCTCGTCCCGGCGCCATTGATAAGGTTTTATCGGTGGTGAAGCAAATGAAGCCGGAGATTGTCACCGTCGTCGAGCAAGAAGCAAACCACAACGGTCCAGTCTTCGTGGACCGGTTCACCGAGTCATTACACTATTATTCGACTCTTTTTGACTCGTTGGAAGGATCTGTGAGTAGCCAGGACAAGCTAATGTCGGAGGTTTATTTAGGGAAACAGATTTGCAATGTGGTCGCATGCGAAGGCTTTGACCGAGTCGAGCGCCACGAGACGTTGACTCAGTGGCGCACTCGATTGGGTTCAGCCGGATTTGTGCCGGTTCATCTTGGGTCAAACGCGTACAAGCAAGCCAGCATGCTGTTGGCTCTGTTCGCCGGCGGCGATGGATACAGGGTGGAGGAGAACAACGGGTGCTTGATGCTGGGTTGGCACACTAGGCCACTCATTGCTACCTCGGCTTGGAAACTCGCCAACAAAGCAGTGATGACCCACTGAGTTAACTCACCGAGGAATAGCCAACTCATATTGGACCCTACCCCGTCATGCTCTGTTTGGGTGGCTGTCAATTGGCATTGTGAGCTGGGTTCCTTGTTGAAAGTGAAAATTGAGATTGAGACCCACCACTTCTCTGTATCTCCTTTCTTCCCCTATTTTAATCTTTAGTTTCAATTTAGTCCTATTTTCTCTTAATATTTTCACCTAGTGAATTTTTTTTCTTTCTTTTCTTTTTGATTTGGGGATCTTTTGTACTTTCAGGGTGAATCGAAAATCGCTCAGTGTATTTATATATGACTTTTGGTACTAATAATAAAAAATGTTGAACTTTTCTCTAGGAGAAATTGTGAAATTGGGGGAGGTTAATAGAGTTAGTACTTTATTGTCAAAATAAGGTTAGGGGTTTAAATCTCAACCGATAAACAGTAAGAGGGAATTTTTCCATGTGGAGGGAAGGGTTGAGTTTACTTCACTTGGTTGGTGAGCCAAGCTTTGCACTGAAAATATTACCTGAGAATATGCTTTCGGCTATTTGAATAAATGCACCTCCTACAAATTGAGGCATATTATCCAAAATAGCAGAAGAAAAGGGGAAAGTAAATTCTGCATTAATTTCTAAGAATCCCCCAGCTATAATGGCTGGCTAGGAAGAATGCACAATCATAATCATAAGATCAGACTTATGTCAAAGTGGTTAATTATGGGATTACTTTCACCAAAAAGTCTCTTTTTTTCATCATACTCCTTTATTTGTGTAGATCTCCACAAACTCAAACTCATCTTTTTCAAAAAAAAAAAAAAAAAAGTTTTATAAAAAGCTCTTCCGTTTCTTTTCTTCACATAACAATCCTTATTTTTGCTACAAGGTTTTGTTCTTTGTAGGAAATGTCACAATGATATCCCAGTAAGCCAATGAAAAAATGGCACATTATAAACTTCTGTATTTCATGCTAATGTGTCATGTTAAGATGTGAAATCTTGTGAAAAGTATCATTAATACCTCAATATGAGTTACAGAAATTTCCAAAGTGTCATTTTTTTTTTTGATTGGATTGGATGAGATACCACTTATATCAGAGATATCCCATGATATAACAGACTTTTTCTCTGTTCAAAACGCATATGCAGAGGAGAGAGCAATTTTGAGTTTGGCCCATAAGATTGTTCAGCAAATGAACCGGGCCAGTTCTGCACTTCAAAACCTATTTAAAAAAAAAAAAGGAAATTGTGGCTGCCAACTAATTCTTGAATAATTTGATATATTTGGTGTATTATTTTATATTTTGTAAAAATAATTGCCATGATCTAGATCAGCAGTCAAGGAATCTTGGTATTTTCTTCCTATCATAATACAGTAATATTTTATGAAATGATAAATTAATAAAAACTGGCCTAGACTGCAAGAAAAAGAAAGATTGGTATAGAAATTATAAACTTATTTGTTTGGTGTATTTCAATACGCCGGCCGGAAAACTAAAAATTCTTTTCACAACTTTCCGGGATTCCTTTTCTCCCTTTGAGGCCGAATGGTATAATTTCTAGTTTCTCCATATTCTGCCATTGTCAACATCTAAAATGGGACCTATTTGCCCACTTACTTTTGTTGGATCCCAAACTTAAAAAATAGCTGCAGATTTTTTGAATTTTGGCTACTTTGATCTTTTGAAGCAACTTTTCTATTTTTTTCTCAAATGGGTCCACAGCTGTATTTTATTGAGCTGCAAATGCACTTGGGGAGTTAAATTTCTACACTCCACCACTTATAAGTCAGTGCTTGTAGATTCAATCCTTGTTTTGCCCTTTTACTTTTCCTAAATCACTAGAGTGGTTCTGATATTACTTAAAATGGCAAAGATCTGGGTCTCTTTTGAACCATTTTTTCAAGTTTTACTGTAGTATTATGGACCAATTCGTGCATATCATACTAAGTTCACATTTATTTGATCATTAACATACAAGTTATTATGTTGGAACTAGTAAATTATTGTCTGTTGATATTACAAATTCAATTATTGAAATGATATGTACTATTTATATTTTATGTAGTTATATAACTCAATCATTGAATATCTAAACTAATAGATTATAATTTATTTAAGACTTTTAGGATACAATGAATCTTAACTTGATCTTGTGATATAGTCTTCGTGGGCACTAAAAACTTAGTATATTTATGCTTAAAGGAATGCAGGATCTCCACCCACAACCCAGTCCCCATATCTCATGGTCAGGTAGATCTCAAATAAAAACATTGCAAACCAACAAGATAAATAGATTGCCCAGGATTTGTTCACCCAAGAGTAGGCATTAAATTAGTTAATTTCAGGCCAGTAGATGAAGGAATGAATGAAAAAAGCATCATCCCCATATATATCAGCCATTTTGATCTCGTAGACAATATGCATCTTTTCATAAATTTAAGAGAAAGCCCTTTTTAGTTTGAATTGATTAAAATTTTAAAATAAATGCCAGTCTAGGTATTGAATGGTAGAAAATGTCTTAATAATAATAATAATACTTCTTACATCTCAACATAATTGTAGTTTTTTTACTTTAAATTTGTCTAAAATTAATTGTCATATTTATATTTTTTAAGGTTAATAAATATTTCTTTTTACTTTAACCATATCATCATCCATTTACTTTAATTATTCATTCAATCACAAAAAAAGTTCTCTTTCTCTTTTGTCTCTTTATTAAAGATATTATAAATAAATACAAATATTGTCCTTAAATCTTTAATTTAATAAAAAAAACAATTATTTTGAGATAGATGAAGTAATAATAATATTAATAAATATGTACAAAATTATTAAAAATATTTTTGTCTTTTCACATTTTAATGACAATTATTTTAACTGGCATGAACTAAAAGGACTCTTTTTGTGTGATTTTAATATGCAAAACAATGGCATGAAAATTTTTTAATTTTCTTTTAATCCGACTAGCATAAGATGGACCGAGTGAGCTGAACCCCACCTTCACTAATCTTTTGGAAGATCACACCAGTTCCCATTTTCAACTCTACCCAATGCTTTTTTATCCTTCTTTCCTCAATAAGAAGAAATTCTTTTTCTGACCCTCTACATGAGAAAAAGTTCAGGGTTTCTTTTTCTTGATATTTTGTTATATACATTTCTTTTCTATTATATTTTAGAAATAGCCCAATTAAAGTCCTTTGCATTGCATGCATGCTATGGCTGATAAAGAAGCCAAGTCAAACCATAATTCTCTGCCCCCCCTCTTTTTCTTTGAGTGGGAGATTGAGACTTAAAAATAGTGGTGCGAAGAGGATATTTTATGTAATGGTGATGTCTTCTAAGATAAACAAGGAGCTAATTAAGTTATGATTTTTGGCACGTCATGGATTAGTGGTAGAGTCAGAAAAATTTTTAGGGTGGCAAGAAGAAACTTTGATTAAGAAATGGTGTTTATTTATTTATTTATTTTATCTATTAAAAAGTTAATGTGGTAAAATGTTTTGAATGAAGAAATAAATTATTTTAAATAGCATTTGGTTGTCTTAATTAATAATCTAATAATGGTTGTGGATGTAGTATAAATGCCATGAATTGAAGAACAAAAAAAAAATATATTGAGTAGAAGAATATTAATGAATAAAACACGGTGAAAAAAAAAAAATAAAAGGAATGTCATATGGGCAAAAAAGATCGCAAGCCGGACCCTGAATTTTGTGACTTATAATGGGCCAATGTATTCAAGTCCATTAACTTAGGTTCTTTTTAGCATTTCTTGTCCGTTAATGGAGAAAATAATATGTAAATAAGGGTATTAATTTTATATTTTTATATTTAAAAATCTTAATTTTATTAATTTTTAAATAAAAATATCAATTTTTAATTTTTTTATTTAAAAACATTAATTTTTTATTTTTTATTTAAAAATTAAATCAATAATGATGCTAATGTGAAAAATAAATTTAAAAAAAAATTAATATCTTTAAATAAAAAAACTAATAATTAGTAACATTATTTAGAAATTAATAAAGTTAATATTTTTAAATAAAAAAACATAATTAATATATTTATTTACATATTTTCTCAAACCATTGGCTTGTCATTCTTGATAGCTTGGCCCCAAAATTAAAGAAAAAGTATTGGGGTAATCATTACTTTGGTTTCGAAAATTATTTTTCCAAAACTGATTTATAAATTTCAAAAATCATATGATTATTATTCAAAGCCTCGTGATTTTTTTCTTTAAACAAAATTCTACATTGGTGCCTACATAGGATCAAGAAACACACCACACAATTCAAAAGTTACGCCTCAATGATTAGAAGTGAAGATATGATGATTGAAAGAGACTATTAATTGTCTAATATGAGTAAAAAGTTGACGAAGTAAGAGATTGGACATTGATTATAGGTTTTTTTTTTGTTTTTTTTTTTTGGGCCTTTAGATTTATTTTAGATTAAAATGTAATTTTTTTTAGAATTAGTTTGGTGTCTATGTGTTTCAAAACTGATGGAATTTTGAGATCGATCATTCTGATACGGTTTTGAAGTTTCAAAACTAGTTTGGGAGAAAAGGAAATTTATGGCATGCGGGACAGCTTTAGAATTTTATCCTAATGGAATAAGGGCCCAATGTTTATTATTTATTTTAAGGGCCTTAGCCCTTTATTGAAGGGCTCAAGAGCCCATGTCTTTTCCTTAATTGCCTTGTCTCTTCCTATTTTTTGAGATCCATATGAACTTGAATAACCAATTAGAATTTAGAAAGCTGACACTACGTTGTTGTTGGGGTTTTTTTTTTTTTTTTAAACAAAAAATAATTGCCTATTACAACAATTATATATTTTTAATAGATGATAAAAAAAGATCAACGATTTAAATAATTTAATATTTTTTTATTAAAAACAAAAAGTTTTAAGTTTAAATTACATGACATGTGAATAAAATAAAATAAAAAATAAAAAATAATTATTTTTTATCATATAACCTAAATAAAAAAAAAATAGAAGATGAAAGAGGGAGAGTTGGAATCAAATATAATACCGCTCCAATAATGTTTTGATTTATAAAATAAAATATTACTACTTCGTCTATCACGGGTACGATAATAAATTGACACTTTCAATTTCTTTTAATTACATGAAAAATATAAACTTTACAACACTCTCATAATATAGTCATATCAATCCCTTGACGCATATCCTTGAAAAAGGGTCCTACAAGCTGGCCAATGTACTGTGGCAATTATTGAGAATTTAAGGTTCCAAATTAAAGGTATTAACTGGAACATTAAAATAGATAAAGAGTAATGAGTAATAATACATGTTTTATTTTTTTTAACATATTATAATTAATTATTGGTTGATTGTGGGGTGAAAGAAAGGGTTTTTGTGAAGTTTGAATATGTAACCCATAACAGGTGAATAATTTTAACCATAAATCTAATATCATTGAATCGAAACGGGTCATTCATAAATAATACATGTTTAATTTTTGTGTATAATTTTTTTATAATTTTTATAATTATTAAATAAGTATAAATGAATACAATAGAATAAATTTTATTAGAGTTAAGAATCATTCATTAAATTATCTATAAAATAATATAAAAAAATTATTTTTCAATCATTTTTTCAATACAATCTATCTTGTATAATTTATTATTATAAGATGTACCAAAAAGAGGCCAGCAACCAAAAGAAAATCTCCATTCTTGTGCATGGGAGGCTTTGTTATATGAAATAATGCAACTTTTCTTCATTTTCCCAGCGAACACATGATGAATCAAATTTTTACTCGGTATCCCACAGTCAAGCTTTGGATTTTTTTGGGGTGTCCTCACATATCTTCTCTTTGAATTATTGATACAGAAAGAAGGCTGTTTGGGGAAGCAAAATCTCTGAACATAAAAATCTAATGTTGACACTGATGCCGTCCTCCAGACTTCTGGCATCAATCTAAGGAAATTAATTCTGAAGTCTTACCTGCTATTGTTAGTTTTTGTTAAAACCATTAAAACTTTTAAAATTTTGTTTTAATTTGATTATTAAAAATAATTTATTCATTTATAAGGATTGAGTTTGAGATTTTTTTTCAGAGAAAATGAATTTATTCTATTCATATCAATGGCCGATATTAATTGTTTTAATAAATAAAATAATTAATATTTATTATTTAATAAATTAAAATTAATTTATAAATAAATATTTTAAAATATGATAACCAATTTATTTAAAAAAAATTTATAATAATAATTTGATAAAATTACAGGTAACCTGATCCAATCTCACCGAACATTCAAATAGAAAACCTGGCTCTCCTACTTAAACTGCCCACCCAATTGGTCAGGTGAAACAAACTATATGCATAAGTAAAGCTTACTTTTTTCAGTTTTTGTAAAAGTCTTTGGTCTCCATTAGAACTTTTCCTTTTTAATTTCCGGAGCGCTGTCCTGGAGGAGTAAAAAACATGGGTGAAAATGCAGAGCAGGACAATCAGTCTCCATTGCTGGGAGCTTCTTCTTCATCAGATGTATCTGTACGACAAGGCTCTGTCAAAAGAACTGGTATTCCCTTTTCCATCTTCTCCTCTTTCTTGTTTCAAGTGGTTTCTTACTCTCTTTTTCTTATGGAAAAAGTATAGATATATAGATTTATTGTTCCCATAGGTGGGTATCTGTTGCCAATAACTGAGGTGAGAAAACCATTTTGATCAGTTCTAATTCTATCACAAAAGCCAAAGGATTTAAGAATGCCAATTTGATTTGGTGCCTAATACCATCAGTTTTTTCCTTGTTGGCTTGATTTTGATGGGTGGTTGAATTCTGTGAGAGAAAGGAGTGAGAGAGTGATTACCAAGTGTTCAACAAAATGCTGCCATTATCATCAGATGCGCAAGAGAAAAAATGGAAAAATAAAGACAGCTAATTTCAGTTCATCTTTTTGTATTTGACCTTTTTCTTTTTCTGGGTTTTTTTAATTCTTGGACTGACTTTTTATTTTAACATGTGCAGGAACTGTGTGGACTGCAATGGCACATATCATAACAGGAGTGATTGGGGCAGGAGTACTATCTCTTGCGTGGAGTGTTGCTCAGCTAGGATGGATTGCAGGCCCAGTATGCATGTTAATCTTTGCTGCTATCACTCTTCTTTCCACGTACCTTATCTGTGACCTCTACAGATATCCTGACCCTGAATATGGCTCCATCAGACTCAAGTCCTTAATGGATGCTGTCAAGTTGTATTTGGGTAAGCATTAGATTCATAAGTCTCATTCTGACTCATCGATGCAGACCTTACAACTGAAACATTTAATTGTTTTCCCATTACAACCAGAGGAAATTTAAAGAAGTACATAATCATGTGATACTCTCTGCCTCGGGACCTGCAATTCTGTGTGCAGCCAGCGGCACTGAGCCCTTGATCTGTCACCTGTTTGGATTTATATAGAAATAAAGACTGTTTAAATAATGTTGCCTATGGATTGAACTTTTTCATTTTAAGCACACTTAAATGGTTTAGAGCAAGAAACTATTTTATACAATATATTTGTAAGGCTAAGAGCTCATGCTTTTTCATAATATTTTTCTCTTTCATATATGTGTTTAAATGTGAAGTAACTGGTAATCTGCAGGAGAGAAGAACCAGAAGGTGTGTGGAGTGATTGTACAGGAAAGCTTTTATGGGTGTGGAATTGCCTACACCATCACATCTGCTAGCAGCGTCAAGTATGATCCTTAAATCCTTTCTTCTTTGCTTTGCTCTGCTTTCCCTTTAAATCATATCTATATTGAATGAGTTAGGAGTTCGCTGAAGCCTCTGGTTGTGCCTTCTGCGACTTTTATATGAGTTTCCTAATGTTTTGCTTGAGTCTTGTTAGAATTCGAGAGGCTCTCTGTTAAAATCTTGAAGCTACCTCAACATCTGTGTTCTTTTTCCTTTAATGTTGCAAAGCATTGCCAAATGGAGAAACTATTTCTTTTCTGCACTAAATGTTCTCACCGACTAAGAGAATCCCATAAGATTTGTCCAAAAAAAAGACAAGAGTGTAGGTATAGGTAAGTAGTCTCCACATCAGGCCAAGGGAGCATGATGAGTGGTAGTTGATAGCATGTGAGGCTATTCTTTTAGCATTTTACTTGGATGGAACAACGTTGGAATTGGGATACCAAAGCACAAGAAATTAAGAATAAGACATTACCCTTCTTTCTATAATTGTATTAGGATGACTCAAAAATCCTGGTGCCATACGATCTTAATTTTCTTCAATTTACTCTCATTTTCAACCCAGACATGGCATCTAGTGACTAAACTTATGTTAGGGTAACTTCAAGGGCCTGAAAAATCAACTTTGCTTTCTTCCTCCAATAGATTATGAGGTCTAAGTTCAAACTCGTCAAATTTTCAGTTGAGATTAGAGGTACTATTTTCTAGAGATTTAAACTGATAGGGTATGCTGAAGAAAGTAAAAGAGGAAAAATCAACCAAACTGTTGGAGTGAAGAATTGCTTAAAATTTGGATGTGATGGGAGTAATATTCATGTTAAGACATATCTAAGCATTATAGAGAAAATGGGAAACAACTCTTTCGGAGATTTGCCATTGGAGTGCTTAGAAATGTGAAAGACAAACTGATCCTTCTCTGTCAATCTGTCAATCATTTTTTACTTTGATATAGATGAGGACTAACCAACAACTTGCATCACATGCATATGATGGTCCTGAAATTCTAAATGAAGGAGAGGAAAAAAAAAATGCAGAAAGAGAGGAGAAACCACCAACATGGGAGTGACAATATTAGGTCTTACATTATTGTGGATGGTCCATATGACTTGATTGTCATATTAAAGATGATTTATAAGTACTTCCTTGAAAATATCTGAGGCTATAAAGAAGGCAGAAGTTGTGAAGCAGGTAAGCATAGGTCCATCTTCAATCTTCTTTTTTCAAACTAGCTGGTAAGAACAATGTTTGTTTCACTCATACCGAAAGTGAAGGTGTATTGGAGTTTCAACTAAAGTTCATCCATTAGGCCACATGTAGATAGAATCATACATACGATTTTCTGCTGGGGTTTTGATTCTCACTTGTGTTTTGTTTTAAAATGGATAAGGTTTGATGTTATTTTGCTCTTTGGAAGGAAAAAAAAAAAAAACTGTATGGTTAGAAACCAAAATTAGAACCAAGCAGAAGTTGCCTGTTGATGTTTCTTACTATACCAAATCAAGCTGGTCAGCAACTTGCTAGCAATTGGATTTCGTTTATATCTTTTCTGTATTGAAGATTGTGGACAAAATTAAGTAGGTGGGAAGGACATAAATGAGAGTGATGAATGGCTTTCCTAGAGATATGTTTCTTTTACTTCACATTGGAGATCTCAAGTTTGAATCTTGGGATGGGTGCGGAGGGGTTTGGGAAGGGGATGGCTATCCCCTATTGTATAGCCCATCATCTGACGTACTAAAAAAAAATGTTGAAACAAAGCTCTTTTTAAATATTTTTGGCCTTAGACCCTTTACATTGGGAACACAGGTAGGAAACACTTAATCAAAATTCATTGTCTACTTTGAATTGGATAAACATGGCTGTTCAGCAGTTTCTTCAGCTGTCTAGAGGCCATTGTGATGATAATGAGCATCCAGCTAGAATCGGTAAAAGCACTTCAAGAATTAGAATGATTTTCTCATTATGTATTTTTTGTTTCAACTATGAATTTACTGTGTTGGATAACTCAAGCAGGAACCTTATGGAGTTGTATAGCTCATATTATCACTGCTGTTATTGGCTCTGGAGTTGTCCTTGGCATGGAGTACTGCCCAGCTGGATGGGTAGGAGGACCTGTTTCCATGCTTCTTTTCGCTATAGTTTCCTATGTTTCTGCCTTCCTACTTTCTGACTCTTATAAGTCTCCTGATCCTGTAATTGGGACAAGAAACTATAGTTAAATGGATGCTGTTAGACTGAATCTTGGTAATAAAAGCATCCTCTCTTTCATTTAAAATCCTTATCTAGTTACCCTAGGTAGGACTGGCATAGATTTTTCATACAAGGTTTTATATGCAATCTTCTAATTTGGTTGAATGTTAGTTCAGGTAGAAAGCACACATGGTTCTGTGGTTTGCATCAAAACATGAGCTTGTTTGGATGTGCTATGGCTTATGTAATTACTACCTCCACGAGCATGAGGAACCTTGGATAATTAGATACAATGATTTACCAGAAACATCATCTGCCTCTGCTCGAATGTCAATTATAAATTCCCTTTGCTTCTTATTTTTCTTTCTTGTTAATTGATACATATTTTACGATGACTACAGTTGATGAATATCTTTAACTGTTGGTATTCATTTAAATACAGGGCTATTCTAAAATCAAATTGTTACCACAGAGAAGGGCATGATGCTTCATGCAATTATGGGGATACCTTATTTATGCTGCTATTTGGAGTTGTCCAGATTGTAGTGTCACAAATACCAGATTTTCATAACATGCAATGGCTATCAGTTGTAGCTGCCATCATGTCATTTTCGTACTCCTTCATAGGGGCTGGGCTTGGCGTTGCAAAAGTGATAGGTAAGCTTGGAATTTTCCTTGTACTTCAATTCTCTCTAAAGTACTTGGTATTTTCAGACTAGTTTTCTTAACTGCAGAAAATGGGAAGATATTGGGGAGTATTACAGGAGTGCCCACTTCTAGTGTTGCTGACAAGTTATGGTTGATCTTCCAGGCACTGGGAGATATTGCCTTTGCTTACCCATATGCAAATATTGTTCTAGAGATACAGGTATATGGCTTCTACTCTTCTTTATGCGTTAAACAAAACTATGATTACGAAACAAGAGAACTCAGTCATTTTCATTTGTTGAATGAAGGACACTTTGAAGTCACCTCCACCAGAAAACAAGACCATGAAAAAGGCATCAATGGTTGCAATCATTGTGACAACGTTATTCTATCTTTGCTGTGGATGCTTTGGATATGCAGCCTTTGGTAACGACACACCTGGAAACCTCTTGACAGGATTTGGATTTTATGAGCCATACTGGCTCATTGACTTTGCTAATGCTTGCGTTGTTCTTCATCTTGTTGGAGGATATCAGGTACTACTACCATTTTGTAAATTTTGATGTTAGGCACAAGAAGTTACTTTACTTTCCACTAATGGTTCTTCTTACGGACTTTCTACCTCTCAGATTTTTAGTCAACCCGTGTTCACATTTGTGGAGAGATGGTTTAGCAGTAAGTTCCCTGACAGCAGATTTGTGAATTGCAACTATGAGATTAAACTCCCTACGCTGCCTCCTCTTCAGATGAGTCTTTTCAGGTTATGCTTTCGAACAGCATATGTCGTGTCCACAACTGCCATTGCAATGCTCTTTCCATACTTCAACCAAGTATTAGCAGTTTTGGGGGCTTTGAACTTCTGGCCTTTGGCTATATATTTTCCGGTGGAAATGTACTTTGTCAAGAAGAAAATAGGACCATGGACGAAGACATGGATTGCTCTCAAGACTTTCAGCTTTGTTTGCTTGATCGTGTCAATATTGGGACTTATTGGGTCGGTTGAAGGAATTATAAGTGCCAAATTTGGCTAGAATACTTGTGTAGTTACCTTTTGTTTACACCTAATTTTACAACAAATAAAATGTTACCACGTGTCACTTATGTTGGCAGATATTTCATTGATTGGCAGATATTTCATTGATTGAAAGTTGGTGTAAATTTTTTCGGATAAAGTTGAGTGGTTATCTTCATAACAGCAACGAAGTTGTTCGCTTGTTGCAAACTTTCAAGAGAATAATCAAACAATTCTCTTGTAAAAAAAGAGGTTGTTTCCAAAATCTCCTTTTCTAGTAGTGTGACAGATATGCGTGCCACTCACTTTACTCAAAGTGAGAAAAAGGGATTTTCGATGACTTTCACTACTTCCAAGTGTGGAACTCAACTGCGAGTTGATGAAAGAGCAATAGTTAAATAAATTATGAGATGCGTCCTCGTTAGATAATTGTCATAGAACTGGGGGTGCATTTATGCATAAAAGTCCATAAATAGTTGTCTTGGAAGAACATCAAGTACTTTCCACAATTAAGGCCAAAATGTTAGTTTGTTAATCAAAATAAAAGAGAAAAATAAAGGAAAAGAGAAAAAAGAGAGTGCATGGTAGGAGAACTAAATTGTAAAGAGGAAGCGTGATGTCGCCATAAAAGCATGAAAACATAGAAAATGAAATAAAAGTTGAAGCATAAACCGAAGTTAAAAGGGCTAAGAAGATGAATTTAGGGCAAAAGCGTAATAAATTAAATTGCAATAAATTAAATTGCATAAAACTAAATACATCAAGTGGAGATATTTACAATAAAATAACAAAAATTAGAACTAAAACTAATAGCAAAGTAGAGTTAAAGATTTAACTAGGAAAGTTGTTTGAAAAAACTAAATATAAACTAAGATATTGTTTGTGAAACTGAAACGTAAATAGTGTTTAGCTAGTTGTGTGAGAGTGTCATTCTCTCTTGCTTCGTTTCTCTCTGCATACTTATAGCAATAAATACCCTTTGGTAGCATACTTGGAGATCTGTGGCAACATCTTAAAAAACTAGTGACAGCATGATATCTAAAACAATTCAATTAATTTATTGATGCTATCGATTATCCTTTTGGAAGTTCGCAATAGGCGAACAGTTTCGCTGTCGTTGTGGAAATAATTACTCAACCTTATTTGAAGAGATTTACACCAACAACTTTCAACCAATGAAATTCTTACCAACATGGATGACATGTGGCCGCACTTTATTTTTTTGAAAAAATGGGTGTAAACAATGCCCCCCCAAACTTTGTTGCACGACTTCATGGAAGTGGAATCAAGTTTTTTGAAAATTTTGTTCCTAGCACTCTTTGCCATGTGGCCATTGTAAAGGAAGCATGATGTCTCCAAGAATGTAGAAATTTGAGATTGTTGTTTTCTCTAGGATCGCATGGAATATCATCTTAAAGACACTGCAGCTTTATAGAGAAATAAGCCAACTAAAAGTGTATCTACAAAAATGGAAAAATATAACCTCCAAAAAGAACAATTCGCTCTGTTGGTTGCCATGGAGACATAAATCAAACACACCTCCATAGAAAACATGTCTTAAAAGCAATGCTATCTCACAACTTCCCCTAAGGTCGCTCTAACTGCAAGATTATTCATACTAATTATAGAAAATTAAAAATGAAAACTATATTAATACTGATCTCCACCCAAACTTGACTTAGGCAAAGAGATTTTTATTTCCACTTTGATCTATTGCATAACTTATAGATCGAAAAGCAGCATGGATGAAATGGTAAGTCATTTATTTTTGTGAGGTGCAGACTACCATCAAGGTTGCTTAACCAATATATGCCTTCATGAAAAATTTCATGTGTTTGCAAAGGTCTCATATTCTTGGTAGAATGTCTCCTAGGCGGCATGCCTCTAGATGATGGCAACATGCCTAACCTAATAGAAACAGAAGTTTCAGTGTCTTTTTACGATTCCTCCCTTTATTCTTTTTGCCAGACATATTTACTTTGTTCTTTGTTGCCTCTTTGCTGCTAGAGGTTGCATCTTGCTTCATTGTGAAAACAAAAGGGAGATTTGGAATGAAACTTGGAAGTTCAATAGTAAACTCACCAAGGCTAATTGTTTTGCTTTTCACATTAAGCTCCTTAGCTGCCTTTAGGTCATTCGATTTGAGAGAAACATGCTTGGAAAACATGCTTGGAAAACATTTTTGGAGACATGACTGCATTGGCTAAGTTTTGATTTGCCTCTTGAGCAATTGCACCTTGTTTCTTCTTCTCCACCCAAATAAACCTTTGCCTCCTTGGAGGTTGTTGCCTTTGGGAAGCATGCACTTTGGCAACAGCATGCCTTTGACGCTCTTTGGCTTGTTTCTTTTGAAGTCACCTTTGAAGAGTCTTAGTATTTTGGGTAAGGAACTTTGGGTAAGGAACTTTGGGTGGGCCACCAGGTTTATATAGTGACAATGTTTAAATTGACTTTGTTTATAGAGGTACCATCTGCCCATGCCTCCATGCTTGTCTATAGGATCATGCTCCCCATGCCTCCACTCAGAGACATTGGTTTGTTGCTTTTGTTCCTTCTTTGGTGTCTAATAGAAGTCTTTAGATTTCCTCCTCTTTCTTTGCCTTGGCAGATGTGAAGGATGGTGTTTTTATGCTACCTCTCATGTTATCCTTGTGTTTGTGAGGAAGAATTGGAAATTTTTTGTGAAAGCCACATTGAAAAGAATCATTATTCTTTAAATATGGCCTACAACATGTTGGACAACATGGTGGACTATATGTCACTTGAATGGCTCTTAGTAATGACTCTACAACTTGCTAAAGTGGACTAGGCTTGCATACATGCTTTTGTTGTGGCAATATTGGTTGGACACTTGGATTGGCATCATGCTACAATGGCACAAGCCTTGTTGCCTTTTTTCTATAGCTTTGTGAACTTCATTGGCAATAAGGTCTTTCAACCTTTGTTGTTCATTTTGACTTGGTTGTCCCTGGAGACTAGAAATGACTCCCTTTTTCAAACTAACAACTTTAAAGGAATATTTCACCTTCAGCCATTGTTTATAGTTTAACTTGGAAGGGCTTCGACCAGTAAGAAAGCAGGGTCGCTACGAACACTTCTTAAGCAAGGCAGAAGGATTATACTTGTTAGTCTCAAAAGAAGTAGAAATAAATGAAGTGGATACCTTATCAGATTTATGTATTGATGTCGATCAAAGTGCTGGCTTTTGTGTGGCAGCATCAGCTTGCTATTGGCCATCAAATAGACCTTGATGAACGGATGGCTGATGTGTTTGCAATTGAGTTGGTTTATGCCTCCCGAGAGTAAGAGAACTATTGCTAGTATTAGCTTTTGTACACTTAGAATGACCTGGAGGCATACTTGTTGAAGTCGCCTCCAAGGGTGCATGGCGTTGGTGACTTTGGGCAACACACTGCAATTGTGATTCATGCCCCTCGAGTGTAATCGTGAGGTTACTCTCTGGCCCTAGTGTCGTCTGATCTTCATTCACTGTAGCAGTTAACATCTTTGTCACGTTCTATGACTCACAAAACTACTTTGGGCTTTTTGAAGATGTGGCTGCATGACACTTTTTTAAATTCTCCATTAAAACCTCACTTTTGGGTTGAGGGGTTATAAGTTTTGGAAGATTTCCTTTTAATTTGCATCCTTTCCAACATCTCTCTAAATTCCTCCTTCATTCATCTTGAAGCCTTTTAGATTTCTCATCAAAATCAACTCTTATTTTAGTGAGAAATCTTGAAAGCTCCTCCTCACCATAGAGTGGATTGACATATGAGGAAGTGTGTGGCGGAGTGATGAAGAGCTTCTAGTAGTCATTAAAGTAAAGACCTACCATGGTGGCACAATCTAACAATAGAAGATATGATCAACAAACTTGTGAAAACCCAAGGTGGAACAAACTTGTTGCAAACTTGTGAATATTGCCAAAATTATGCCAAAGGTGGTGGTTGCAGTTAAGGCTTCCTCCTTGCTATAACTCTCAGGCAAGAAATTGGTTGGTCATGGCTGGAATGGCTTGATAGGGATGTTGCAAAAACTAGAAAGAATAGAGAAACAACTGCAAATTCATGATGATGGTTATCGGAGGAGTGGCTATGTTTTATAATGAATTGGAGTCGATCATGTTTTCGAGCCCTAAGCGGTGAAGAATTGCAATCGCGTTGCAGTAGTTGCAATCGGCCATGTTTCTGATTTTAAAACGGAAATGAAACGTAAACAGAAAAAGTGGAAAAGGTGGAAAGGAAGGAAGCCCTTGAAGAATTTTGGGTTTACAAAAGAGGACAAAGGTGCAAAGAAGTTGGGTACTATCACTTAGGACCTTAAATTTTTGGCACCTACTTTTGTAAGGTCAAAAATTGGGGGAGCAATGTTTACACCTAATTTTACAACAAATAAAGTGTTGTCATGTGTCACCCATGTTGACAGATATTTCATTGGTTGAAAGTTGGTGTAAATTTATCTGGATAAGGTTAAGTGGTTATCTCTATAACGGTAGCGAAGCTATTCGCTTGTTGCGAACTTCTAGGAAGATAATCGATAGCATTAACAGAATAATTGGTTTGTTTCAGATATCATGCTGTCGTTTGTTTTTTAAGATTGCTACCGTAGATCTCCAAGCATGCTACTAAGGGGTGTCTATTGCTCTAAGTATGTAGAGAAGAAACAAAGGAAGAGGGACCTGCCTCTCACACAACAAGTTCAACACAATTTATTTTTATGCTTAGATTCATCTCAAGCCTTTTAGTTTAGTTTTAACTCTACGCTTTAGCTTAAATTAGTTTTCAGCTTTAGTTTAATGACTTTTCCTTTAGAAATCCCAAAAATTAGTTGTAGTTCTCTAAGGAAGCAATTCAATTCTCCTTTTGTTGGTTTTGTAATGGTGAGTTTCATTGCCTTCAGTAATATTTCTTTGTAATTGAAAAAAAATCTTCTTTTCCTTTTTTGTTTTCCAAGTTTCCTTTAATTTAATCAAATGATATCAACATTGAATTTTATGTTCAGTTCCATTTCTGTTAATTTACATTTCATGCTACCAGTAGATTTTCCATTGTTCCAGTTTTATTTAATTTAACTTAATTTACTTTTTCTGTAATTAGATTTCCTTTTAGAGCTCTATTTCAACCTAGTTTATGTATTTAAGGTTCATTTAGATTTTCGGTAGTTCGACGATC